GATGATAGTCCGTTGAATGCGGTGCCTACCAAGTACCAACATATAACAATATAATGATCCTTATTTGAATTTTTATTGTACTCATATAAACATCGTACTCATGCAGTCATGCATCCAAACAAAATGTGACAGGCTGGGTTTGCTACCTGTGAGCTTTTCTCTTATAGACGAAGACGATTCAAACACTTGTATATGAAGTGACCTTGGCTTGATGATAAATTTACCACTAAGTTCTTTATAATTTTATACTTGCCTTTATATTTTGCTTCTAATTATCATATCGAATGCAAAGCACTATGAGGACTTCTAATTAACTTGGTACGTTAAGCAGATGTTGATAACTAACTTTAGTTGTAATTTTAACTAGGGGTTTATGTATGAATTCAAAAACTTGAATGTTTTCTAACTACATGTCATCATGCACACATAGAACTGACTGCACTAACTAAGAGTTATCATGGACACATTACTTTCAAGAAGTCTCACTCTCACTCAAAACTACAATGATTTCATTCTCTCGATCGACACACACGCACATAAATATTATTACATATTAACTGTATATCATTCAGACATTCAACACTACCCACAAGTAATAGATTACAAAGAAAATAAAGAAACGAGATATCTTAAAGGAGCCCTAAAGCGCCTTTTGCTTTATTCGCTTGCTTTATGTCTTTCTTGTTTCTGTAAACTCACATGTTATACTTTAGAGTAGAGTTGAGGTGTTGGTCCATTTACAATTTGATGTGATCAAATCAAGAAAATAGCAAAACACTATCTCAAGAGAAGTTCACATGTTTTTGAAAAATTTGAACTTATATTTGATTAATCGTGTAAAACAAAATGCTCACATGTTACTTCTATTGACTTGCCTCCATCATCTGCTTTGTCCCATTGGATGTACTCTTTGCCCATGCCTCTTGGATGCCTTTTATATTTTTAAAAAATTACAAATATATAATATAACTTACTGTTTTATTCATGTAACAATTATTTGCAGCAAATATAGTAATTCAGTGGAATAATGTCAAAAAAATATCCCATTTATCTTTGTTCCCTATTCCCCTTGTGAACATATAAGCTAGTTATCAGGTTATTGTACATACCATGGCTAAGGATATGGATATCTAATCCAAATGATCTGAAAATCAAGTACAACTATAATCTAGTTTGAAATGAAGAAAAAAAAACAAAATGATTAAAGAAACTTATACTAAACAAACGTGTATAAATTTTCATACAGCATAAAACAAGTGAGTTTTTTTTTAATAGTGGAATGAACCATATATGAATACACTTATTATTTCAGAGCTATAACTCTAATGGATATATGAAAGTTAAAACAATGATATGCAAAGTACGATATCATAGCTGGTGCACTGAAAAAAGAAACAACTTTTCTTACCATTAAATCTCAGTGAGAATTGGTATCATTTTCAACTTTGAAAATAACAAAAAAAAGCTAGATTCGCCTAACTATTACTGTACTATTCTGAAAAGTCTTTAGAAAAGAATCTTTTTACTTAGAAAAATAAAATGTTTTGACTCTTCAAAAACCAAAAAAAAAGAGAGTCATTATCTTCTTCATCACTCACACACACTCTCTCTTCTCTTCAACCAAACATGGCCTCTCTTCTCTCACTCTCCCTCATCTTCCTCTTCCTTTCACCTTCACTATCTTCCCCATCAGAGCTCGACATTCTCCTCGACATCAAATCCTCTCTAGACCCACAAAACCGCTTCCTCACTTCATGGACTCCAAACACAGACCCTTGCTCCCCTGGCTCATTCGACGGTGTAGCTTGCGATGGAAACCACCGCGTAGCTAACATATCTCTCCAAGGAATGGGTCTAACCGGAACCATCCCTCCTTCCATCGGTCTTCTCACTAGCTTAACCGGTTTATACCTTCATTTCAACTCCTTAACCGGTCAGATTCCTAAAGATATCTCAAATCTACCTCTCCTCGCTGATTTATACCTCAACGTCAACAATCTCTCCGGTGAAATCCCTTCTCAAATCGGAGACTTAGACAATCTTCAAGGTTAGTCTTGTTTATGCATGCGTTCATACTTCATTTATTACAGCAAACAAGATCTTAAGTGGGTCCGGTTTAGCTTTTTATTACATTAGCTTAAAAGAGTTTATGTTTTTTTGCTTTCTTTTTTTTTGCAGTTCTTCAGTTATGTTACAACAAGTTAAGTGGGAGTATACCGACACAGTTAGGTTCTCTCAAGAAGATTACTGTCTTGGCTTTACAGTATAACCAACTCTCCGGTGCTATACCGGCCAGTTTAGGCGATCTCGGTACGTTAACGAGGCTTGACTTAAGCTTCAACGACCTCTTTGGTCCGGTTCCGGTTAAACTCGCCGCTGCTCCTTTGCTTCAAGTTCTTGACATTCGTAACAACTCATTCTCCGGCGTCCTTCCCTCTGGTAAAATTCTTTAAATATGGTTTAACCGAACCAAAACCGGATCGAACCGGATATAATTTTTGTTTTTCTTTTGGTGTTTGTAAGGTTTGAAGAGGCTAACCAATGGGTTCCAGTATGCAAACAACCACGGTTTATGCGGAGATGGGTTCACAGATTTGAAACCTTGTACCGGTTCTAACGACCCGAACCTAAACCGTCCAGACCCAACAAACCCGAAGACTTTCAGAACAACAGATGATGTTAAACCGGAATCTGCAGACTTACAAAGAAGTAACTGCAGTAACAAAAATGGCGGGTGTTCATCAAAAGCCTCAAAGTCATCATCTCTAGGAATCGTCATGGGACTAATAGGATCAATACTCGCAGTTGCGATCTTCGGTGGCTCAACTTTCACTTGGTACAGACGAAGGAAACAGAAGATAGGAAGCAGTCTTGATACTATGGACAGTAGGGTAAGCACTGAGTACAACTTCAAAGAACCTTCTAGAAGAAAAAGCTCTTCTCCGTTGATCAGCTTAGAGTACTCCAGAGGTTGGGATCCGCTAGGTAGAGGACAGAACGGTAACAACAACAGTGCATTGTCTCAAGAAGTCTTTGACAGCTTTATGTTTAACCTTGAGGAGATTGAGAGAGCTACTCAGAGCTTCTCCGAAGTTAATCTGTTGGGGAAGAGTAACGTCTCTTCTGTTTATAAAGGTATCCTTAGAGATGGCTCTGTTGCAGCCATCAAATGTATAGCGAAATCTAGCTGTAAATCAGATGAATCTGAGTTTCTCAGGGGTTTGAAGATGTTGACATTGCTGAAGCATGAGAATTTAGTGAGGCTGAGAGGCTTTTGCTGCTCTAAAGGGAGAGGAGAGTGTTTCCTTATCTACGAGTTTGTCTCCAACGGCAATCTCTTGCAGTATCTTGATGTCAAGGAAGAGAGTGGAGATGTTCTTGAATGGACTACTCGAGTTACCATCATAAATGGAATCGCTAGAGGTTAGTTCTTCCACAAACTAAACTCTGTTCTTGTACTAAAGTCTGATGTGTGTTTTTAATCTTCAGGCATTGTTTACTTGCATGGAGAAAATGGGAACAAGCCTGCAATAGTTCACCAGAATCTATCAGCAGAGAAGATCCTCATTGATCATTGGTATAATCCTTATCTTGCGGATTCTGGTCTCCACAAGCTTTTCACGGATGATATAGTCTTCTCGAAGCTCAAAGCAAGTGCTGCAATGGGATACTTAGCTCCAGAGTACATAACAACAGGAAGGTTCACTGACAAGAGCGACGTCTATGCCTTTGGTATGATTCTATTGCAGATACTCAGTGGTAAAAGCAAAATCAGCCATTTGATGATCGTACAAGCTGTAGAGTTTGGACGACTGAATGAAGATTTCATTGATCCAAATCTTAGAAAAAACTTCCCGGAGGCAGAAGCTGCTCAGCTCGCTAGACTTGGTCTTCTCTGCACTCATGAGTCTTCAAACCTGAGACCTTCCATGGAAGATGTTATGTACGAATTGAATAAACTCGCAGCGAGTCATTAGTTGCCTTTAAACAAGGAGATTGTTGCTTTTGATTGTCCTAGATTATCACCACTCCCCTGATGTTATCTTGGTTCATGATGTAACAATCTTATCTCTTTTGTAACTGTAGCTGATGTACTTAGGATGTAAAAACAAGTGTTTCTTCCAGACCAACCAACATGTGAATGAATATGTTGTGACATTGTCTTCATCTGTTTACTCCGTTTTGTTCTCCATTTGAATCGCAAGGAGTTGCAGAATAGATTTACATCCTTGAAAATATAATGTTTGCACAATCTTTTTATCTACAACGTGTTGGAAACTTCCATGTTATCTACAAAGAAACTCATGGACTCTTCCATCAAGCTCAATCCAACTACATCCAGGAAGTTTTTCTATCTTTTTTTCCTTCATCATTGTTCTAACTCTACGAACATCCTTCCACATTCCATTACTAGCATACATGTTGGAGAGAAGCACATATGAGCTCGGGTTGTAGCCAGCTTGCAAAATGAGGTGTTTCGCGACAAGCTCTCCCGTTTCAAACTCCTTATGGTGATTACAAGCAGTGAGAAACGTTCTCCAGATGACATCATTTGGCTCAATTGGCATTTCCTCTATTAAGTTTTTGGCTAGCTCTATACTTCCTGATCTTGCTAGTATGTCCACCATACATCCATAGTGTTGCAATCTTGGTTCTATCTTGTGTTTTCTCCTCATGAGCTCAAAGCAGAGAAGGCCTTCCTTCACCAAACCAGAGTGGCTGCAGGCATTTAGGACTCCAACAAAAGTGATATGGTCAGGTTTTATGGAGCGTCTTTCGATCTGCAAAAGCATGTCGAATGCAGATTCTCCAAGACCATGAACAGCTAGGCCACCAATCATGGCATTCCAGTGATCAATACTTTTACTTCCAATCCCCTCGAAAACCCTCATGGCGTGTTGTATGCTTCCGCATTTCGAGTACATATCAATGAGAGCAACTCCGAGTTTTCCACTTAAAGGAAACTGTTTCTCCACAATGTACAGATGCATATCAATGGCTTTGGATAACCTTCCAAGTTGAGCAATCGCTGAAAGAACTATCACCAAAGTCGTTTCATCTGGTGACAAGTGACTCTCCTTTTCCATGTGGTTAAACACTTCGAGAGCTTCCATGTGATACCTGTTTTGAACATAACCACTCATCATAGAGTTATACACCACAACATCTCTATGTGGCATTTGGTCAAACAGAGACTTAGCCTCATGAACCAAACCCAACTTCCCATACCCATCGATCATAATAGCCCAAGTAACCACATCCCTTCTTGGCATCACATCGAATAAACCTTTAGCATCCTCCATCCTCCCATGCTTTACATATCCATCAATCATCGAATTCCAAGAAATCAAGTCCTTCACAGGCATCTCATCAAACAGCTTCAACGCAACATTAACTCCATCTTCTCTCTGAGCAAACCCACCTATCATCGAGTTCCAAGTAATCAAATTCTTCTTCTCCCTCGGCATCAAATCAAACAACTCACCCGCGGATTCCACCAATCCACATTTAACATACCCATCAATCATCGAGTTATAAGAAACAGAGTCTCTCTGCGGCATTCTATCGAACACCTGGCGCGCAAACCCTAAACAACCACACTTTATATACAAACCAATCAAACAATTCTGCAGAAACAAATCCGCCCAAGCTCCACTCTTTATCACAAACCCATGAATCTGCGTCCCTTCCTTCACAAACCCTAACCTCGAACACGCTTTTAAAACAAGAGACAACGAGAATTTATCCACGGGGACACCGTTCTCGAGCATCAAACAGAGCAAAAACAGAGCTTTTATCGGATCCACTCCATGAGAGTGAGATTTGATAACTGCGTTCCATAGAAACGGATCTTTCACCTCCTCTACGGTGGAAACAGAGCGTACGTGATACTCGTGGAAGAGACAACGCGCGAATTGGGCGAGAAATGGGCGTCGAGAGGAGGCGAAGGCGAGAACGATCCTCGTCGTGAGATTGGGGTTTTTGATGAATCCGGTAGTGATTAGTCGAGAGTGGATTTTTTTTACGTCTTCTGAAGTTTTGCAGCTTCCGAGGAGGTGGATGGTTGGTGAAATCGAACTCCATGGATGATGCTGACAATGCGCGAAGACAAGCATTTCTGTTTGGAGATAACAGGATTGGGTTTATGTTCGTTTTAACGGTTATGTTTTAGTCTGTGTGGAAATAAGGAAACGACGTCGTGTCATATTGGCTCTCAAATTAAGGCCCAACTATAAACTAAATGAGAGTTTCGAGTTTAGAGAACATAAGTAAAAATAAAAATCATTCGTGTTACAAAAAAAAAAACAATCATTCAAACCTAACCATGACTAATCTAGTAAGAGCGTTTTCAATATGTCTATATTTTTTTATAAGATAAAGATTTCTATCATAGAAAAAATTATTATAAAAGTGGATTTATTCCAATGTAATTTTCAATAACATAGTTTTTCTATTTATAGAAAAAGTATAGAGATATTATATTTTAGTTTCCAAATATATAGAGATGAAAAATAATAACTTTTTATATTTTTTTCTAAAGTAGAAAAATTTTATTATAGAAAAGTGCATTTGAACACACAATCTGTTACTATTATATATTTTAAAAGAAAATATAGATAACAAATCTCAAAATTTTGAGATTAACTAGCCAAGAATAACCAGACCAATACTTGATGTGGTATTGATATATGACTCTATCCCTCAGGTTAATGTTTTTGATGAACACTTCAAAACATTGAGCCCTACAATCTCTCATAATCATACTCACCCGATCACGTTTACACGAATGTAAAATTATTGTTACTACAGCTTCATACACAGTGACACACGGACATAAAAGACCAGTACATGTCTCTCTATATGTAACATTTCTTATGGTTTCACTCAATGTTGATGCGGACAACTTTCTTATCTCCACGTGCTGAACGGCTTGAACCGGTCTGAAACTGGTCTGATCGGATACGAGTTTGGTCAAGAGATGGAAGAAGCCATCCTCCAAAACTATGATCAGAGCCTGTGACATTATACATATGTAACATAGATCGGAACTGAGATTCTGAATCTGTGAGAGGAGATAGTTCAGAAACAAAGAGTTTTACTAACCAGTGGATTCATGATTGGCAAGAGATGAATTGCCTTTCCATGCTTCTTCAAAGCCACTTAGTTCGTCTAAATAAACAAAGAATTCTCTCTTAGATTCTTCCCATTTTCATTCAAGGAGTACAACTTATGATAAGAATGTGCAGATACTTTACACTAACCTTCATCGAGGTTGTGAAGAGTCTGTGTAGACTCCACACCACCACTTGAGTTAAGCTTCCTAGTAACCGAATGTCCCTGAAATTTAACACAAAAGCAACAGAGTCAAGACTCAGACAAATCAAGAAGCAATTAAGTAAAAGCATCAAAAATCAACTTACCTTATCATTGATTCCTCTGGAGATCCTATGAGTGGCTTCACCTGTAGTCTTATCCGCCTCTTTGCTTTCCTCAACTACCACCTAGAAACAGAATCGAGTTAGTACTCAGAGAGTTTCCATAAATGGAAAGGATGGAAAAAAGAGAGACAAACATACTCCATCACTGCCTGCTTTTCTGGTTCTACTAGATGTATAGTAAGCACCATCTATGCCACCATATGTAACTTTAGAGGTGTGATGCCTAAATGTTTTAGCTCGAGACTGCGCACATTCTCTAACATTGAAGTTACTCCTTTGATTCACATTCTGAATCTTCCTTTCAGCTACAACCACCAAACAAAAAATCAGACAAATACATAAAGTTTATACTGGATAGAATCAGTAAACTAAGCTTTTAAGTACCATCAGAATCATCTTCAGGGTGCTCAACAGATGGCTGATTCTCTGAACTAGTATGTTCTTCATCACTTACAAAACCTTTTGCTTCATCTTCTTCTACTTCTTCATCAGATGGTAATTCTTCAATTGTTAACCCTCTCCCACCACCATTGTTGTTATTACTAAAGGAAGCACCTGAACTAAAGGTGTTTGGTTCCAGCAAATCTTCAAATGGTCTAGTGAAGAAGGGATCATCAAAAGGATCTCTCCCTCCAAACAAGCTACCTCTAAACGATCCAAAATTTCCGAATCTACCACCAAATGAATCTCCCATTTTTCACAACTCTGCAATCTTTTCTCCGAATTTAGTAACATATCAGACGATCAAAGAGATCTTCAACAACCCCTAAGAGAAGAGACTATACATAAAACCTATTTTCCTAGCAGTATGATGCAATCAGGTCGTAAAGAACAATCAGCGAGAAGTCAAATGTGTTCCATATTAGACTCAAACCACAGATGTTTTAAGAGATCGTTCAAGAACAAGACATAATAGATTAGCGTACCTGCTAGAGAATCCGAGAAGAGACCAGAAACTCCACAGACAATTCCCTGATTCAAAAGACAGAATAACAGCAACTTTGTTTATTATATACACGCCACAATTCTGAAAAAGGGAACATAAGTTTGACACGTGTCATTTAGAACACAAGCTAGAAGCTTCGTCATCATTCTTCTACCTTAATCGGTTAATCCTTTTGAATTTTGAATTTGAGTTTTTCAAGCACAAAAGTCCAAAGTAATAAGCTAAAGAGGACAGCATCAACAAAAGGGATTTGACTAGTAAGAAAAATCAGTAAAGTTTGTTATTAACGTGAGACATGGCTCTACATTTATAACTAGAGATCATATGCTATCTACTCATGAAAGAAGAAGAACATCTAGTCGTATGACTTTGGCTTTTTAGTCTCAGCGTTCTTCAATGGCGTCTGAATAAACGGCAGAAGCAACTCTTTACATACATTTTCTCTTACAAAGTCATCCCTAAGGTATTGTTACAGTCTTGCTTGCAGGTTCTTTTCTTCAGAAATCTTGAGAATCAAAGTCCGGTTTTGACGGGTACTTGAGTCCCTGAAGTTCTGGCATTCGTCTTAAATCTTCTTCTGAGTATGCAGGAATCAACCAATACTTCTTATCCACACCAAATACCTATAAACATAAACTCCCAAATAAGAGATTACAACATGAGAAGAAAAAGAAACTTGATAAGGCTATAAAACAAGTTATCAAAAATGTACACTCACTTGTTCAAAGTTCTTCATTCGACCGAGGTCATATGGCCATTTCGGACTTGCTTTCTTCTCATATGCCTGTTCACAAAGTCAATACACAGAAGAAAGATTAACCATGTGATGCACCAAGCTAGGGATGGAAATGTAAAGAAGATACCTCTATAGTTGTGGTATTGCCAGCTACTAGCGAGATGTGCATGATCAAGAAACCCATAACGCTTAACGCAAAGGCCAGGTTCAAAACTGTGGTAACAAAGATGAAATATCGTGAGATGGATGGATATAAATGTAGCAAAGAAAATGAATCAAAGGTAATAAGAACGTACCAAATGCAAGAAAAGTAGTTGCAAGAGTGCTTGGGGTTCCAGGTATCTCTTCTTCACTAAAGAACGCTATGAAGTGTGGCATGAGAAGTAAAGTCACCAGAGTCGTTTCCAAAAAGGTGTAAAACTGCATTTGAACACAATGATAAATAGTTACTATCATGGATTAATCATAAGCCCCAACAAACTTTTTAATCTAGTAAGAAACATTAAAAGAAACCACTTTGGCATAGGGATCACACCAGAGTAGATGAAAGTAGACTTACCAAGAAGAGAAGAAAATACTTATAATTAAGCGCCCCAACACAGTTAACAACCCAAACACAATGATGGTCCATTTTCAACACACACCGACCACCTGAGTTAAACACACAATCAGCTCCCTCATCCAACAACAACTTCTTTAAAGAAAATGAGAGCACAAAATAGAGAATGTGACTGAGAGATCTTACAAACAGAGCAATGATGGCAGCGAGGAGGCTTATGCTGATTACATTTCCTACAGAACCGAGTTCTTTGGTTCGACGAATCAGGCTGCAACCCGCCAAACTCCAAACTATTCAACGGATCACACTCACCCTGTTGCTCTTCGTCTGAATCTGGCCTCCAATTAGTAGGCACAACACCAGGATCAGTAAACACAACAGAGAAGTAGCTCCACAAAAGCATCCCCAACTGCATCAACACAAAACAATTCAAAACCCAACACAGAAAACCGACAATGTAATCAAACAGTTGAGCAAAGTACGAATGTTTTGTCTGAAAATTTAACCAACAAAAAGAAACGAAAACAGAGGAAAATGGTGAAAAGGGTTTACCAAGAAATGAAAAAGGAGTATAACAACAAGAGCTGCAACAGAATCGAGCCCTCCATCTAATAACGCGGGACCGTAATTGGTCCAAACGACGGCGTAATAGGTCACACCAACGATGCCTAAGACCAGAAGGATCATGATCGATCCAAGTCCACGTAGAGCTGTGCAGAATTTGAATACGTTCCACGCCATTGTTGTGCCAGATCTATGCATAGTCAACAACCAATCACGATCGATGGAAGAAAATAAAAATTAATATTTTGCGATTTTTTGGATCGGTTTGAAACAGAGCAGAGAGGAAGAAGAAAAAAGGAAGAGACTTTGAATCCGACGAGGGAACGAATGTTAGTGATTCAAAGAGGTTTATGGAATGAATGCTAGTGAGAAATTCTAGATGCAGCAGGGACTCAACGAGGAAGACGAAGCCACCACCAACCCGAGCTAACAATATATCCATCAACGATTTAAGTTTAGTGTATAAAATAAAGTTAGGTACACGTAATCTAAGCAACAAGCCCGTCTAGCTCAGTTGGTAGAGCGCAAGGCTCTTAACCTTGTGGTCGTGGGTTCGAGCCCCACGGTGGGCGTTTATTTTAACATTTTTATTTTTTGATTAATTTTTATAAATTAAAATATAAGAAAGTAGAAAGAAACATACATTTTTTTTCAATCTTTCGTCAACAAGTAAGAACATCTTACAAACGGAAAATCACCAATAAAATAAATGATATTTTCAATTCATATACAAATTTTAAACCCAAAAGTCCCATAAGAAATTAAAGAAAGCCTCTCGCTTGGCAGCACTTGATAGCTCCAGCGAATATTTCATCGGCTCCAGACTTAAACTCGAACCCTTCACTCCTCAGCTTCTTCGACGACAGGCTCATCCTTTTCTCTACTCTATAACTCTTCAAACTTTACGTATCCACAACACAACACATAAATAAAATTAAATGCTTAAAATAAAGAAGGCGTAGAAAGAATAATATACTTACTCAACTGGAGGTAGCTGAAACTGAGGAAATTTCGTAGACAACAACTCAAAGACCTCATCGATCTTCATCTCCACCGACGAACATATATATCTACCTTTCGCTACTGGTCTTTCTAATAGATATATCATTGCTCTTGCAACGTCATTAATATGCACCATGTTGTAAGTGTCGAACAAATACTTCTCCTTGTAAGTTCCTTCAATAATTAATTTGATTTACTATAGTGAACAATGATTATCCCTCAAAAGATCAATACAAATTTTTAACCGTCTTTAACCACAACAAAATATTTTATCTAATGTAATTAATTAGGATCCTTTTTTCATATAAAAACCAAACATGATTCAAGATTTATCTTCCATATATATAATGTAAAATATTATTAGTGATGGACATAATTCACATCCAAAAACTAACTTAAGAGTGGAAGATTGACCATACACATATATTGCCCAAAGATAACATTATTAACTAATGTGGAACATTCTAATAACCCTTTTCGAAATGTGGATGGGAAACAGTCTATAGGAAAACAGTCAAGTCCAATATCTCAGAAATATCATAACAATGGGCCACTTTACAAACAACATAGGTAGGAAACTGTTACCATATTATATACCAGACCAAACTATATGCTCTGATACCATATTAGTGATGAGATTAACTCACAGTCAAAAGTTAACTCAAAAGTAGAGGATTAATGTATATATATTGCCCAAAGATCACATCACATCGTAATAAATACTAATATATGTATGTGGTTAAAAGTTATTAAGTTAATGAAAACGCATGTTAATTATAACCAAAGATTGGCAACCATGATTGAGATTACTATGTATGTGAATATATGAACCTTAATATGACGATATTTTAACCATTTGATGACAATTAAATTGGTTGATATTTAACAGACAAAAAGTATACGGTACTAATTTTAACAATTTTTAATATAAACTAACCTATATATATGACATTGTAACCAAAGTTGTAATATTTGTCGACCCTTTTCTCCAAAAACAAATATTTATTGAGCCTACTAGTTTTTTTTTTAGCTTAACAATTATGTAGAGATATAACAAAAATTTAGCTATAAGAATTTACGTACCAAAGATCATGGCTAGAGAGATGAAGACGGAGGAAGGCAACGACGGAGATATAAAAGGTCCAACGACGAGAGGAAGCACCACCGTCACAACCTCCAATCCATTATCCCCTCCGAACTCAAGCGCCGCCCTCTCCGCCGCCATTTTCGACACAACGTAAGCGCTACTCACTCTCTTCTCCTTCTGATTCCTAAACACCTCCACGTCGCTCCAAACGCTCTCGTCCACCTCTCCTCCGTTTCCTCCATCACCGCTTCCGACGCCGTAAAAGACGGTGACGGCGCTCGACGTGTAGAAAAAGCGTTTCACGGTTTTAGCATCTACACACGACTTTAGTATCCCCATGAGACCTTGCACGGTGCGTTTCGTGACGATCTCTTCGGTCTCGTTGCTGTTTGGGTCCATTGGATGCGCCACGTGGAACACGGCTTTGCATCCTTCGATCGCCGGTTTAAAACTCTCCGGTTCGTTGAGATCGGCGGTGAATATTTTGAGCCTCTCGGATGCAAATGGGAGTTCGGTTAGGTAGCTTATATCTTTTTTATTCCCTTCTGGATTAGGCGGTAGATAGTTATTAGTTATCATCATTTATATCTTTTGTTATTTAATTATTGAGCATATAATATATGGTTGACTTTATATATAGAAGATGCATGGAACATGATATAGCTATGGAAGTCCAAGATCCTACAAACTGACAGATAATTCCAGCTAAGTACAATAAATTTCTCACATCCTATTACAATTGTCATCCAAAAATCAACTTTAAATGTTATATCGACATATATAAACTATAGTTTATCTCACTTTTTGTATTTAAAAATTAAAACGGACTAATCAGCCCTAAAACGAACAGCATGAATTTAATTTGCATTTGGTAAAGTGATTGTATAAGAGAAACTAGTGAAGCTAATCAGAAATAAAGAAACCGATGGATTCGAACCTGGGTTGGTACGAACAGTAGCTCGAACGGAGTAGCCACGTTGTAAGAGACGCATGATGAGCCAAGAAGCAATGAAACCAGTCCCGCCCGTTACACAAACCAACCCCGTTCCGTCAAAGAAAGACGACGCCGTTTCATCCCCCAGCTTTCTCTCTCCTCCTCCGTTCTTGTCATCTTCTTCTTCTTCTCTCCCCATGTTCTTTCTCTCTCTCTCTCTTGTGGTGTGTGGGAACATCTCTAAAGGGTTCTTAAATAACGGAACCTACGTCATTTACTCTCTCACACCTATCCGCGTGACATGTTCCCCGTTTTGCCCTCTTCACTCTTTATTACAAATTTGTTTTATATATCCGTTACATCAATGCTAACATTTTACAGATCATCTATACTATTATGTGTATAATAATTCACATTCTATGTCCGTTTATTACAGAC